CCCATTTTTCTCCTCAACTTCAACAACTTCTGTAGAGGAATAACAGGTCATATGACGATCTTCTTGCAAGAGATCTCCTCGAAGTGCAGCACTATTGGCACTATTTGTATACCGAAGTTCTCGACAAGCCCACCGTTCCTTAGTCAAGCTTTGCCTTCATGCACGCGTCATCCGTCCGTCACTGCATGCTTTACGAAAGTAAGCAACAAATTCCACAGTGAGAATTCACATGGAGAAAAGGGAATATCATGTTTTTGCCTCTGTTGTGGGTAGTTTAACATAAAGATTCTTGTAGGGATATCTATAAGTGGTAAACTTCGGCATCCCAAAACGTTTGCAGCAGAGTTGGTCTCCAGTCAATTCGGTTTTTTACAACGCAGATCACTTGGACAATTTCGGCAATAGCCAAAGCGTTTTATCATCTGGAAAAAAATATACCACCAAAATTAAGCAAGGCCAATTTTAACGAAAATTTGCTAAAAGTGGTTTGGGGAAGCATTCTCTTATAAAACTGTTTCACATAAGCATGCAGAAGTCGTTGTTTTATGCTACTGTTTGCTGCAGAACGAGCAGTGAGATGCAAGACAAACAGACAACTGTACGACTAATAATGCAGCGGAAATACGAGGTAGGATGCATATGGAAGCATATAGGAATAAAAGATGGGTATAATTTGGATAGAGGTAAAATGGATTCATCCATGGTGGATGTGCGACTTATGGTGGAAAAATGGCACAAACCTGGGCGAACTTTTACCAGTCGGCTGTTTTCCAGGCATCAGAAAATCAATTCAGAATGCGCGTTATCAGTTCCCTTCATGGTGAGTAGTCCGCCTTTGTTGAGAGCAATCCTCCGAAGACACACCCACGTGGCAACCTGTATTGCTGAAATGCTTTTAATAATCTGATATATTTACGAATTCGTGTCTGTTTATAATGAGGACTCTACCTGCACAGACTTTTAACAAGAGAAATGGGACTGTCCCATGAAATAGAAAGAATTTCAGTGTACAGTTGCCCATGTGGTGCTTGATGACTATCGTGAATAAATTATAGCATGAATGAGTGAATAACTGATCGAGAATGCATGAAGGAATGAATGGATGGGAAGCAGTAAAAAAAGTGGACATTAGTACGCTTATTGAAATGACAGATTGTACTTTGCAGGGAGAATTGTAATTTCTGGGACCATGTGAGCTTGCTCAACTGGTGTGAACTATAGTGGATTGTGTTATCTAAAATTAAAGGCACACAAAATCGAAATACGTCGATGATTTTAAGCAAGGTGCACTAAGTTCCACACTGTCAGTCAATTCATCCCAGACACAGCTGTCAAGTCTTTTAAGAGCTCTATAATTTGGCCAATTGGAAACTATGCAGACGCGTAAGTAGATATTACTAATTTTGGTGCAGCAACTGCAAAATGCACTTGAAATGTCAGTGCCTCACTGCTTTCTGCAAACTCTATTGGCAACGACCGTGATCTAGACTCCGAGGCGGTTGACCCGATACATGCAGCTAATTCTAAATTCTAGTGTCCACTTTGTTGTGGCCTTTGTATGCAGAGTTATAATTGATGAGGCTTTTATTTCATTTCATTTCAAATTCCATCTGCTTCCTTTAGTTTTTGGGTGACATGTAGAGAGTTGGACAAGTTTGCAATTCTTCCAGAGAGCATTTTTTGCAAAAGTGATTTTCTGCGGTATCCAAATGAAGGAGTGTGCTGCATTTGTTTACACTGAAATCCGGCACACAGTAGGATTGTGCAATTGCCTCAGTGTAGGCATTCAATTGCTCCCATATCTACAGGTTAATGACATTTCCGGCGAAAATGGTTTTGGTCACAAAGTAAAACACCAGGCATGCATGTTCATCTCATGTGGTATTGGCACCTGTGAATAGTGGGGTGACTACAAATATATTTTTGCTAGAGGTCTTCGGTTGCACATCAGATGAATAGCATTTTACTCCGCTCCACAGTAAGTTGTCATGGTGAATTGACCGACAGCGTGAAACCTGACAGTTTGTGTAAAATGGTCAGCAAGTTTAGGTTT